AGAGAGCACGAGAGGGAAGAGGGTCAGAGGGAGAAGCAGGCTCCCCGCAGAGCAGGGAGCCCGACGCGGGACTCGATCCCAGGACCCTGGGATCATGACCTGAGCCGAAGGCAGACGCTCAACCGACTGAGCCACCCAGGCGTCCCCCCCTTCATGTTTTAATTGGTGTTCAGGCTCCTACTCTCATGACAGCTAAAAGTTCCAGGCTTCACAATCACATATCACATCATCCACAGGAAAACCCATGCCTTTGCAATTCTTTAATTGTGAGAGCTTAAGGCTAGTGAATTTCCTCTGAAAATAGCCTTGTCCCCATTATGTAAGTTTTGACTGGAAATTTTGCAATAACATTAATTTAGAAATGGTCTGTAATTTCATTTTTATTTACTTATTGACCATAAAGATATTAAGATGGTTACCTGAAACATTGAGTCTGACTTTGTATCTCTTCGACAATGCAAAGTATTTTATAGGAGAGTTAACTCAGCCTACCTTACCGTTCTCATCCACTTCACCATCTTGGCTCAAATAAACTTTATGGCCCTTTGATAAGATTAGAGGGGTCTCTCCCAGAATCCCACAGTAAAGAGCTCCCTGGGAGGAAGAGTCTGTGGGGCTAGAGCACGAAAGCCAAAAGAAGCCCACACTCCTCCCCACTCAGTAAGGACCAATCCAGCATTCCCTGTCTGAAACAGTCCTGAGCTTGCTTCCAGGACCTGTTCATGCCTCTTTTCATCTATCACCTTTGAGAAGATTGTGCTGCTGGTGTGCACACCCCTAGGCCTGAAGGGAGGTAAAGCAACAGCTTTTAGTGTGGGTATAAACAGAGCTTGGATGTGCAGCCTGCAATGTCCACAAATGCGGACAAGGCCCCTTTCTGTGCATGATGGAGATAAGAGATAGGGATAGGAAAAGAGGAGGTAGACCATACACGAGACCTGTGTGGTGGGGTCCAGAGCGTCTCTCTCCCTGGGCCTCCATGTTCTGGCTTGGAACCCCAAGGAGACTAAGATAGTAAATTCAAACCCGGTCTTATAGGTCATTGTGAAGTTTTATTTATCAAAGTAGGAGGATAGAACACACATTATCTAACAGTTTTATGTATAACTTTCTGGTTCCTGATAATAGTTCTGTTTTTCAAAAAAGAATAGTCTTTGTGATTTACAAGTGATGGGACAATGGAGAAAAGAAGATCACTTGAAGATACCAACTAGTTCGATTATTGTTTACTTTTAAGATCAACATTCTTACTGAAAGTAAGAAAAAGAAGATAAATGTTTAAACTTCTTAAAACTTCTATTTATTCTTTCATTGTTAGATTTTTTTTTTTTTTTCTTTTTCCCGAGAGAGAGAGATTGAGACAGAGCATGTGTGTGAGTAGGGGGAGGGACAAAAGGAGAGGGAGAGAGAAAATCCTAGGCAGGCTCCATACCCAGTGTGGATCCCAATGCAGGACTTGATCTCACAAGCCCGAGATCATGACCTGAGCTGAAATCAAGAGTCAGACGTTTAACCCACTGAGCCACCAAGGCGCCCCTCATTGTTAGATTTCTTAATCTATTAACTAAATAATGACTTATTTTCTGTTGTTCTTTGTCAAGTAAATTGCACTAGCTTTTACCTGCGATAGATCTGTAGAAAATTTCCACCTTCAATATTGTGTCTCTAGCTATTTTCAAGTAAAATACACAATAAAATGTTCATGTTGTAAATACAATGGAGTCATTGTTTATTCTTTGAAAACTGACTCATGGCAGAAGGAAATGGTTTAAGTAAAATAGAACCATGAGTTGTTTTTAAACTTCAATAAATCAATGTCATCCCACACATCAGGAATATCCTATAATTTCTTGCTTGGTTTTTTTTTTTTTTCAGGAGACTACACTTTAAAAATCGACCTTGCAGATTTTGAAAAAAATAGCCGTTACGCACAATATAAACTTTTCAGAGTTGGGGATGAAAAGGTACTCAAATTTTCAAATAAGTAACATCATGAATTAATGTGTAAAATATAAACCCTAAGGTCAGTGGAAACAAAGATAGACAGTAGGACCTGTTCTTTTGTTTATTAAACATATTATTAACATTACCATTAATTATTAACACTAAATTAACACATTAGAGTGACAACTGATAGTGGAAGTTGCCTCTTTTCCTTTAGAATTCCTATGAGCTGAATATCGGGGAATATTCTGGAACAGCTGGAGACTCCCTTGCAGGGAATCTTCATCCTGAGGTGCAATGGTGGGGTAGTCACCAAAGAATGAAATTCAGCACATGGGACAGAGATAATGACAACTATGAAGGAAACTGTGCAGAAGAAGATCAGTCTGGCTGGTGGTTTAACAGGTTTGCGTTTTATAAACATAGTTGTGATGGCGTTGATGATATCTCACTAGTGGGCATTAATTATAACATGTGAGGTAATGTTGTCTTCTTTGTAGTATTGGTATTATTAAGTAATCATGCTTATTAGAATTCTTCAGGGATGAAGTATTTTTGAGGATTTGTTCATTGTGTGCATTAATAAAGCTTGAAAGGTGTTATAGAAATAAATCAAATTACTACTTATGCAAAGATTGCTTGCAAACTGAATGATGGGTGAGTTATCATAAACAGTTGGCCACAAATTGACATGAAGATATAGGGAGGATTTATATAGGAGAAATATTTTCAGCATTCTAATAACCAGTTTGGTCTTCACTTTCTCCTATTATATGAAATGGCCATGTTCTTTTTGTAATTTTTTCTATATAAAACTACTTTTCGATCACTGTGACTTCCCTTAAATCATTGAATCCAAGCTCCTCCCAATACAGAAATTCCCTCTACAATATTCCTGACACCTAATTCCACCCTCTGGCTGAATACTTCCATGTTACTTTATCAGCTAGCTCATTCCATTTTTTCAATTGTACTCAGTTTTTCCTTTTATTATCTTGAAATCTGCCTTCTTATATCTTGCCAGATTTTTTTCTCAGTAGTTAATAGAGCAACTGTAATTCCCTTTCAACAAAACCCCGCAGGCAATGGGTGAGAAGATATTTATTGTATTCCTCAACATTTTCTCTTCTCTGGGCCAGATAGTCTTGACTCATTTAACTGTTCTCCACCCAAGATGGTTTCCAGATAGCTCCCTTTGTTGTAATTACAAAGTTTAGGCAAGAATGGAAACTTCACACAGTCTTCCTTAAAAATAACCTGATGGGTCTGCTGTGTCTGCAAAGCAGATGTGCTCCAACTGCTAGGTAGTGCACAGGTTTGGAATGGCTTTTCTCTTTAGAAAACAAGGACCACCTCAAAATGTCTGGACATTTAGATTTTCCATTATGGAATCTTTAGTAAGTGAGCGTATCTGGAGCGTCAGATTTTCCATATTATTGAAGATTATCCATTAAGTTCCACAATCCAAATTTTAACCTTATTTTTGTGATGTAAGTACTTTCAAGGCATTTTGCAATCCTCTATCTTATTAAGTGGAGGTAGACAAGGCATATGTTAATTTTCCCTAAAAGCATGAGAGTCCTCCCTAGGAACATCAGCTATTGTGATGTGCTGATTTTAGAGTTGTAGATTTTATGGAGAGACAGCTAGTTGTAGGTAGTGTGGTGTGTCAAGTTGACACTAAGTGGTTGTAAAAACAGGCCATCTTTGTCACTTTCTCTTCCTCCTCCTTTTTCCTCCCCTGTCCTTCTAAGTTAGCATTATGTAAAAATTATCAGCATTATGTAAAACTTATCCATAATTCACTAAGTTGCAGGATCCCTTAATGTTTGATTTTGAACAGAAGGCCATATATAGAAATAACATCGCTTCTCGGCCTTTTGGCGAAGATCAAGTGTAGAAATAACAATCATTATCAGTTAACATTACCATGAACCTACCCCGTTGACTGGTTGCTATTGTGTCTAAAGGACAACCAGCAACATATTAACATGGGCAAATAAATGATTTACTTGACTTTAGATATAGGGGTTCAGAGATGACAAAGAAAGGCAATTCAGTAGCTGGGGCTGCCAAAGAACCCTTCATTATCCTTGAAGCCAAAGGAGATGATAAGTCTGTACAGGTGGAAAATCAGTAACGCTGGAGGAAAAGTCAATTGTTCTAGAAGCTTGGTGCTATTTCTACCAGGCCTCCTATTCCTCTTGTTTAAACCTATCATCCTCTTCCTCCTTACCCTCTTTGTTTTCATCCTAAAGTTCTAACTTACATGAAATGTTGGCACTTCAATTATCCCTCACCTGCAAGACGTTCTTTCTCCACATAGCAAACCAGTCGCTGAGTGTGGCTGTCTTCTGTCTTCTCTGCTTTGCTCATGCAAATGCTCACAGCTACTTCTTCACGGACGGAATCCCAGCCATCTCCCGCCCCATCCAGTTACAAGTTCAGGCTGTTTCTGAAACAGAAAGGTGCTGGAAAATCGGTTTCAGAATAGCTAAGATTTTGTATGCTGACCATGCAGTCAGTTTTCTTAATGGGATTCAAATCACAGAACCAATAAAAATTATATATGTAGTAGATGCCTCTAGGAAAACAGAGATAGGCCAAAATATATATTCCGGAGGCTCAGTGGGGAGTATTTTTTTTTCTAACATTACTTTCCACACAGTTTTAAAGCCACAGTAGGTTTTTGATACTTGCCGAGTTAGCATACATGGTTTCAGTTACATACAGTTAAATTAGGAGACTGTCCGGGTGGTGAGCAAGAGCAAATCACTAAGCTGGTTAAGTGATCCACGCCAAAACTCAGCATCTATGGATAAATTATATGCTTTTTTGATTCAATAATCTGGGTACTTTCCATAGATTTTTCAGAACTATCCCTTGTGAATGTTCTCCTTATATCCTATTATCTGCCATCTGTTCATTTCAATCAAGAAATATGTAGCGACTCATTCTTAACATACACAGTAAATTATCACATAAGCTTAGTTATCCATATCGGGGCAAAATTTACGGGTTTTAAAGGAGGAAGTGGGACATTTTAAAATTTATGATAAGCCAACCAACTTATCTAGATTGGAATGATATGTGTTAAAAAAATAACTCGGCAGGGCGCCTGGGTGGCTCAGTCGGTTAAGCGACTGCCTTCGGCTCAGGTCATGATCCTGGAGTCCTGGGATCGAG